CTGTCATCAAGGAACATCATGCCCTGTTGATAGAAACAGAAGAGGCGTCCGAAAAGTTAGACTTCGACTCCGAATTCACGCTCCTAATCGCCAGAGAAGGTTTTACCAATATTATTTTTTTCCTGAAGTTAATATAAATACTTCTTTTGAACGAGAGATATCTAGTATTGACATTTTATTCAATTTATGGAGTGATATTTCGAATATTCTGTTTGACTGTAAAGTACCATTCCTCTCTTTATTTTCATTTGTTGCAGTTTTGTATAACTTCCTGATCTCAATCGTTGTGTACTATATGAAGTTATCACAGTGGTGGCTGTGTAACGTTCTATCTTCTGGGATGCAACACCCTGTAGACCGCTGAAAGTCAAATGACGTTTTGGCTGCTTGATGATTGGTTTCTTGCTATGCTCAGTCTTCAACCATGAAGATTGAGACATAATCCCCCGAAACGTCGGTTGACTTTCACCGGGCTACACTGCGTTGTGTTCATTATTTCCTTTATTGGTCAGTACTTGTCTTACGAACGGTATCTCCCAGTTTCATACAGCATTTCTGTGCAAAGTACTTTCGGGAACGGAACACGACCCACTCTCTGTGTGAGTTAGATTTGTTGGGTGAATTTAATTTTGGTTCGGTATTCGTGTATTTCCCCCTCGTTGGTGGCTCCACCTTATCGTGGTGAGGGGGTTTGAGTATACCAATGACCCTGAGCGCTATATTAAGCTTCGAAATGTGGTGTTGGAGAAGGATGGAGAAGATCAGTTGGACCGATTATGTGAGAAATGAAGAAGTGTTATTTAGAGTCAGTGAGCAGAGGAATATCCTACACGAAATAAGAAAACGGAAGGCTAATTGGATTGGTCATATCTTACGCGGTAACTGCCTTCTAAAAGAAGTTATTGAAGGAAAGATAGAGGGGCGGATAGAAGTGCCCAGAAGACGAGGAAGAAGACGTAAGAAGATGCTGGATGACCTTGGGGACAGAAGAGGATATTTTAATTTGAAAGAGAAAGCTCTCGATCGCATCAAGTGGAGGAACTGTTTTGGAAGAGACTGTGGACCTGTCGTCTCGACAGATTACAGATGAATGAATGAATTCGTGTATTACAATCCCTAACATACATGAACTCCAAATAAAACTTTACCAATTTTCTCAGAAATCTTTCATCACAAAGAAAGTAACTCAATTATATGATTACCAGCATTTTGGGAGGAACCTGCTGTCTCCATCTTTTTCCTCGAAGTTGGAGGCAACATATGTCTCCGAAACATTGATAACTACCTACCAAGACTACACTGTATCACTGCATATATTTTAGTAATCTTTATAGAACCTCTTATATTTGTAATTTGATATTGTAAAACAGAGATCAAGAAATATATCCAAATATATATTTTTTGCTGACGTTTGTAACTGTAAGCAGTTTGTAAGCCACCGTTGCACTCACCAGCTTAAACATGATGAGAGGGAAGAGATGTCTGCTTGTTCCTGATGGATGCACAGTGCCTTCTGGTCAGTCGACCCGCGTTTATATACCCAGTGGACATGTGGGAGGGTGCCTATCTTGGTATGGCTGCGTTGTAGTGTCCAAATAATATTGTGACAGTAGCCAACCGGTAGCAACCACCTTCACTCTCTCCTGAATCCAGTTGCAGTTTCGTCACATTCCGTACGCTCGTGCCAAAATTCCATGTTTCTGACACAGATTGGTGAAGTAGGAGACGATTACAATATCTATTCATCGGATAATCATAATGGATTGCACATGCGCACTTCGTGGTGTGAATACGCACGTTTGTCTCCTTGGGATACAGATGTGGAGAAAGTTGTTAGATGTATTCGAAACAAAGATTCAAATAGGAGCACAGGAACATAGTACAGTTCAGTTCATTTATTGAAGAGCCTCATAACAACTGAAAGACAATTACAGGCAAGCACTGAAGAAAAAACATTAATACAGAGGATATGAACAGGCGTGAACAAAGAAGAATGGACATATAAAAAGAACATATTAAAAACTAAATAAAATAATTAATGATGGTGATAATAAGTAATAATTAGTCAGCATAATTTTTAACTATTTACTTGATAATTTAACAGGCAAATTAAAATTTAAGCATGAAGTAGAAGAGAAACATACGCAAATAAAAGACAGAGGCAAGACAATTTATGTCATATAAATAATATTAAAATTCAGTATAATATTTTAATAATTTTCTTGATAACTTAACACACCAATTACAATTTAAGCATGAAGAAGAAAGAAAGAAAGAATCGCAAAGATAAAAGAAAAAGAAAACGCAGTTTTTGTTGTTTGCATATAGTAATAATAATAATTCCATTCAAAGTTATCATTAGATGGTGAGAAAAGAAAAATATATTAAATTTTTAATTCAGTTAATGTGTTGATAAGCCGGTCACGGTAGCCGAGCGGTCTAAGGCATGTACTGTCTTCGCTCGCTTGGAAACCGGGATCGTGGGTTCGAATCTCACTCAGGGCATGGATGTTTAGTTTGTGTGTGTGCGTTTTTCTGTGTTTGTATACAGGGAGAGGCCTTGCGACGAGCTGATCACCCGTCCAAGGAGTCCTATCGAATGTGTTAGATCTAGAAAAACCGAAGTGAACAGAGAAGTTCATGGAGGTAGGCTTAGGCCCACTGGGACTGTAGTGCCAAGGAAAAAAAAATGTACTGATAAGCATTAAAGAGGAAAATATAGCGGTTCTTATAAAATATGACTGAAAGAAACCATTTTTGTTTTAAATATTTCGACGCCCATAGAAGCAGCATAAGCATCTGATGCGCATCTAATAGGTGGACAGTTTATGTTTGAAGAATCAGCACTGAGCAGAGAAAAGTCCGCAAACATGTACCAAACCACACGACGTAGTAACACAAAAGAGAGTGTTCTACAGTAAGTGCATGTGAGTTAGGCCTGTACCCTTGTTCTGTCTGGAGTATGTATTTTAGTGCTAGCTGCTGGCGAATCTGCTTATCTGCATCGTCGTAATTTGCTACGCATTCTGTTGTGGCTTCTTTACTCTTGCGTTGTTTCTGGGCTATGTGCACTTCATCGGAATCCGGTTATATGTAAAAAGTAAACCTATCCCTGTAACAGGCCTTGGAGGCCCATAGGGTTGTGAGACGTCGAGACTTCCATATTTTCTGGACAATCGGCTCATAGATAGTGAGGTCAGCTTTACGGGTCGGCCTCCATGTACCTCCCATAAAGATTCCTGGTACTCATTTCTGGTAGAGGTTGAGTCGATCCTAGGGTCATAGTGCGGCTGAAAGGATTAAATCAATTGAAAAACTCATTGGCCTAATCGGGATTTGAACCCTTGACCTTCCAGCTTGTAGCAATGGAATCTAGTTATATTTATTATTATTAATGTTAAGTACCTCGCACGAGTGATGACAATGCAGGTTATTATGAATTCTTGAAGACCAAAATTCACTCTCATAAGTTGTCTTCTTGTCGGAATTTCCTTCATTATAAAACAAATAACTATGCAGGAAGCAAGAACTCAGAACTGTTCTCTGTATAACATATATTTGAGGACCCAACATGCATATCATTGCGTCATCATTAGAAAATAATTGGATTGTGTCCTCAGCGTGCATTGGAAACCAAGTTGCTCATACTGGAGTACTCATAGAACGTGCAGGATATTTCTCCTGCCAACTTAAGTTATAATGCAGCCAGGTTAGCGCAGTCGGTATAGCCACTGGTTCGAGTCCCAGTAGGGTCAAGAATTTTCTCTTCTCCACGTTGTCCAGCCGGGCTCTGGGGCCCACCCAGCCTCCTAGCCAATGGATACCGGCGACTCTTTCCCGGGGGTAAAGCGGCAGGAGCGTGAAGATGACCATTCACCTCCAACTAGTGCCAAGATCAAGAAAACTTGGCTCTATGCATCCACTCCCCCATACGCCTTCATGGCATAATGCTTAATTAGTTAAGCACAAGGACAACTTTACTTTTTCCTCCCCTTGGCACTACAGCCCCAGTGGGCCTAGGCCTACCTCCATGTACTTCTCCGTTCACTTCGGTTTTTCTAGATCTTACACATTCGGTAGGACTCCTTGGGCGGGTGATCAGCTCGTCGCAAGGCCTCTACCTGTACACAAACACAGAAAAATGCACACACACAAACTAAACATCCATGCCCTGAGTGGGATTCGAACCCACGATCACGGTTTCCAAACGAGAGAAGACAGTACATGTCTTAGACCGCTCGGCTACCGTGAACGGCCAACTTTACTTTACTCAATGTATAATTTATGTTCGAAGATGTAGACAAAGTTTTTATGAGCTCACATGAAAATGTAGAAAAAATTGTCCTTTTACTTAACTAATTAAGCATTATGCCATGAAGGCGTATGGGGGTGTGGATGTATTCTTGACCTCGACACTAGTTAAGAGGTTTGTGGTCAGTTTCACGTCCCGGCCACTATACCTCCGGGGAAAGAATCCCCAGTACCCCTTGGATAGGACGCTGGGTGGGTCGCAGATCCAAACTGGATGACGTGGAGAGGAGAAATGTTACCCTTACCGGGAATAGAAGTGCGACTCCTCGGCCGTCCAGCCTGTGGTCAGTCGCTATACCGACTGAAGCTTAAAGGCGCGTCCACAGTACTCGTGCTCGTGTGACTCGCTATGCTCGCGAGTAATGTGGACGAATGACAAGTCACGAGACAAGCAGATTTAAAATTTTTAATATAAAAACTATAGCCAATAAATTATAATACGACTACAGCCTATACACACTACGAGTAAATATACGGATCCTCACGCACCGAAGCCTGGTGAGAAACTGAAGTAGTGTGGACGAATATTTACGAGCAAAAGTAAAAGCCAGACGAGTCTCCCGACGAGAACAAGGCTGGCGAGCACGAGCACGAGCACGAGTAATGTGGAAGCGCCTTTACATTCATTGTAGCAACAGTCCTTGCAGTAATGTGCTCCGCATGCTTACTAGTTATTTATTTATTTTTAGGTTGTGAGGTTGCGAGCTTCGAATGAGATGGAATGTTGCCGTCATGGATAGTGGGTAAGTAGAAATATGAAAATATATGATGATGGCCTGTTTCAAGTTAACACGCATCTGGAAAGAGCGATAGGGCAATTTGCAAAAACATGTGTTAAGATAACAGACAGCCCGGCACCAAAAATGAAGTGTAAATAATTATAGGATACATTATATATCCTGCCAGGTTCATCCACATGGTTATTATTACTTCTGTTTTAAAGCATAATCTGTCTACTGAAGTCGATAGTAGCACGAATGGGGGAGAAGAGGAATGCGTATAGGAAAGCCAGAAGAAAAGAGACCACTGTGAAGAAAAAGACGTAGGTGGGTGGACAATATTAAAATGGATTCAGAGAGATAGGATGGGATGGTATGGATTGGATTGATCTGCCTCGGGATAGGGACCAGTGGAAGGCTCCTGTGAACGCTGTAATGAATCTTCGGGTTCCATAAAATGCTGGGAAATTCTTGAGTAGCTGCACAATTGTCGGCTCCTCAAGAAGGGCTCAGCTCCATGAGTGAATAAGTGAGGCAACAGACCAGAGAACCCAATCCGCCAAGCTTGAAGAATAACTGCAAAATAATAAGCTTTTAATTAATCTAAAAGTCAGTGCACATGTTTGAAACTCTTCGGAATAAATTACACTGGTAAAGAATTGTACTGGGTAAAATAGTGCGACATCGACTTTACTTTTTCTATTAAATTAGTGTACGTATTTGTAGAATAGTGTAATTTCTCTTTAAGCACTTCTGCATCTGTGAAGAAAATGAAGACTGTCTTGCACAATAACGTGTAACTTGTCCTCGTGTTCTTCGTCGCATCTGTTGCACGCCACTCATTCTTGGCCGTCCTTATGAAAGAACGCAGAAGGTCAACGACCATCCTGAATATATGTCTCCTAAACGTGACCAATATAAAATGTGTGAAAATGAAAGAAATAGAAGGAATTTGGCTCTAAACCAACTTAATTCAGTTTATGGAAATTCTCAGCTGCTGACAGAAACATGGCATACAAATGAGTTTGACATTTTTATTAATAATTCAAATTCTCTTCACCAGTAAGACGAAATCTCCATTTTGTAGTGTATTGGCTAGTGTACCTGGCTCTGACTTATGTGTGATATATATGTAGTGGTCCAGTGGTCAGAGTTCCTGGCTACAGATCCAGAGTACCGGGTTCAATTCCCGGCGCCACCAGATTTTCTGAGAAGTAGTGGGTGTAGAACGGGTTCCACTCAGCCTTGTGAGGATAACTGAGGAGCTATTTCAAGGAAATTGCGACTCCTGTATAGAAACCCGAAATTAGCGGCCGTGGGGATCCATAGCTCTGACCACGCGACACCCTCTATCCGCTAAAGTTGGCACTAACTTCGCCGACAAGCTGTTGTCGCTCGGTCAGTATAGTTCGCTTGCGGACTAAAACCACAGAGTTTGTTATTTTTTGTTTTGTTTGTTGCTCACCAGTCATGACTATCGTGCCCGATAATTTTACTCAAAATAGTCTGTATAGTTGACAGAGCATCGGTAGATAAAGTGCCAGTAAATTATCTCGCAGAGATTTATGAAAAGCGAAACTTTTGAACTACGTTCAAAGGTTTACACACACACAGATAGCATTTTACAATCCAGAGCGTTCTGTTTTCAGAAGTAGTAGAAATAGTAGACTCTCAATGAAGTTTCTGGATAGCTCAACCGGGAAGCGAATCCACGCGTTACGGGTCCTGAAGGGGCGTATTATTCATTCATTAGTTCGCAATACCCAACCGTTCATTGTATATTTTCATGTGAATAGAGCGGTAGGGATACGAACTACGGACTTTGCATTACAGGCAGTTGGAATTTAAGTTGGACTTTTACCATGGCTGTTAAGGTACGACTAAAATAAACTCTGTGGCTTGAGTGTGCAAACGAACTATACCGAACGAGCGACCGCCGCTTGTCGGTGAAGTTAGTGCCAACTTTAGCTAATAGAGGATGTCGCGTAGTCAGCGCAACGGCTCCCCACGGCGGTTAATCTCGGTTTTCTAGACCGTGCTGCTACTATTCCATTCAAGCAGCTCCTCAGTTATCCTCACGAGGCTGAGTGGACCGCGTTCCAGATCCACTACTTCTCAGAAAATCTGGTAGCGCCGAGAATCGATCTCGGTGCCTCTGAATCTTTAGCTGGGAACTCTGACCACTAGACCACAAAGGCGGTCAAGGTACGACACGTAATTCAATAACACTGTTTATTAATTATCATCTTTACTACTCCAAAAACGTAAAAGAATGTACAAGTAAAGTAGGAAACGGTTTATGAATTTCTACCCGTTGCTTTTGGGATACGAGGACGTGGTTACTTACAATGTCTGACAGATGGCGTTAATTTTCGGTGTCAAAGATAACACATGTACAATGGAAAGGGAATAAAGGAGAAAGGATGGAGGAGATAAAGGAAGGGGCTCTCGTTTCGTTTTCAATGGACGTTACAATATTAAAATTGCACAGTACTTCAGAAATATAATAATTACTCTTAATTTAGTTACAATTATTGTACAGCGATTCAAAGCGACTTCTGACGTTTAACAGACATGCTTATTAAGTAATTAAATGTTGGGAAATATAAATTCATCATTGCATTTTAATATTTTATGATGATATATAACAATAGAACAACTGTACTGAGACCATTAAGGTTTTCGTATCTGAACACGTTTTTACGTTATCCAGACCTTTTATAAAAAACGAAACATATCGTAAATTGGTTTTATTATGGGGTTTGCAGGAACAGGGTTAGCCTACGGACACTTAATTTTAATGAAGTTGGTCTCAAACAATGATCCAGTCTTTTTGTATAATGTGAAGGTGGAAAAAGGTGAAATATATAACAGTATGTAAAAAGGGGAAACGTTGAACTGACGTCGTTCCAAATAATTATCCTTTACTTTTCATAAACCAAATTCAGGATTGTTTTTTTTTAATTATCATCCCGTTATGTTAACTTGTCGATATTGACCCAGTCATTTAGTATTTTTTTTCCATGGCTCTACAGTCCCAGTGGGCCTAGGCCTACCTCCACGAACTTCTCCGTTCGCCATTTAGTAAATACTCTTTGAAAAAAAAAACGACTGTTAGCACATGTTGCTTCCGTCTTGAGATACTTAGTTGATGTAACATATTTTTGCCTGGGTTTTCCTTGAAATAAGCTCTTCTTCTGTAGCCTAATGAAATTGATAATTTCTTTCATCACACATCTTCACCAAACCATTGTCGCACCATTGATCAGGCGGTTAATAGCCGGATTCCCACCGCGGCGGCCCGCGTTCGACCTCAGTTAAGGTCATGTGAGATTTATGGTGTACGAAGTGGTACTGAGTCGGCCAATCATGATCCTACCATATTCATTAATGTCCCTATCATCGACGTTGTATAATTTCCATATTGAGAGCGTCGTTAAACAAACAAAAATTAATGAACTCTTATTTTTGTCTTTCGATTTTCGCTTCTGGAGTGTAATGCATGACTTAGTCTTTCGGGAATACATCATATAGAATTTTATAGATTTTCCATCGTTTCGACAAACATTAAATTTGTCATCTTCAAGGTTAGAATCTTGTGGGTTTGGAAGCTGTGACGTGGATATCGCAGTGTATTCGACAAAGTGGACGAATGGGGCGCTGTCTAATAGGCGCGACCACATGTTATTGAAAGCAGGCGGTGAATAAGTTTTTGCTACACCGTGTTGAGGGAAAGAAATCGTAGAAAGGACTTTAGGTACCCTGCGTTATGAAGATATGATGAAAAAGTCTGAGGGACAACGTGGGTTACTGTTAGAAGAGATGACTGAAAACTGTTTCTATTCCCTGTGACTAGATGCGTGTTGCATTAATCTTCTGCATGCGCCTTAATAAATATAAAAATATAGCCGAATATAAAGTAAGATTTGAGGTTTTCACGGCGGTGACTATGAAGAATGCCGTCTTCTGGGATGTGACGCCGTTTAGAGCTTGTGTGAATCAACGTTTCGGAAGAAAGTTTCGCCTCCATCATCAGGGTAGAAAATCCGCGAGTGATGAACCAGACTGAGTCTACAGCCACCTGCTCTCGCTGGTTCCTCGCTCGCGGATTTTCTACCCTGAAGATTGAAGTGATATTTTCTTCCTAAACGTCGACGCCACATCCCAGAAGACGGCATTTTTCAAATATGATGTAGCTTAGTTTTAGTTTAGTGTCTTGATGTGGGGTGAGACTGAGTCTACTTGGTACTCTGGCTAATATTGACCTAATGTACCAGCCCCGGATGATAGGTAATAGTGATTGTGGAGCAGTCGGTGGAATGAGAATTGGCAGGGAAAACGGAAGTACTAGGAGGAAACTTGCCCCAGTGCCACTTTGTCCACCACAAATCCCACATGACCTGATCTGGGCTCGAATCCGGGCCGCCGCTGTGGGAAGCCGGCGACTAACGGCCTGAGTCATGGCACGGCCCAGATATCCTTTACATTACCATCATAACCGAGACATGAAATTATGCAGAGTACTATTTTCTGGGATATTTGTACTCCACGTCCTCTTCCAGGAGTCCACACGACTTACTTCTCAGAAGACAGTGCCCTTGATAGTTAATCCCGTGAGAACCTCAAATCACACATGGAACTATGTTCATTGCAAGAAGTAAATACCGAGGTATTATTTATATTTACATTTTTGGTCCTTGAGAGAAATGTTTTGACATTACACCACTATTGTATAATTCACCGCATGGTCACAATTCTTTTAAATACTAAATAGATCGCTTTATGCATTAACTGCCTGTGGTTTCTTGGTAGTGGACGTGGATAACTGTATGGGTTATATATCTTAATTTTGCCGAACGACGAAATATCGGTGTACCTAAATCGTCTTGCGCATTAATACACCTGTGTATTCTCTTAACGAGAAGACCAGGCAGGTTGGGAAAACGGAACTGGGCAAGCAAAAGCATTCTGTTTTCTAAAAGAAGATAGGTTTGTGGTATCTCATCGTTGACTCTGTCCCAGTCCTGCGAAT